GAGGGGGTGAGCGAAGAGACACGGACTCAGCAACAGTCTCTCTTCCATGTTACCATTGGGAAAAACAGCAACAGTGAACAGGCCCTAGTGTGCAGGGCACCCTGGTCTGGCTCCATTTCAAGCCTAATCATGTACGACGGGCTGAGAGAGGGTCCGACAGATGAATTCTGGGTCTGGAAAACATCGCCAAATGGGGCCCCAAATAGTTCAACCAGAATCCCTCTGGTGGCACCTCTCTCAGCCCGTCACACAATTAGTGTGGCCCTGCCCTCCATGAGGTGGGGCCACACCAGGTTGCCCTGCACTTCATTTGCATATTAATTTTTGAGGGATCCCAGGACTAATGACAAGAACACCTGGTTCCAGTCATGAGTGGGGGACATCCTTTTTTGGCAGGGTGGTGGTGGTAATCTGGAGCGCGCGCACCCCCCCCCGCCTGTGCTAAGCTGTCTGGTCACCATGGCCTGAAATGCTGTCGACTCTGCTGGGGCCCAGCTCAATGAACTACATAATAAATTGTGAGCCTTTTGGCTCTGGACTAATATCATGCACAGTTTATACTGTATATAAGTAGGTACAAAAGGTAGGGGGACTTATCTTATAATCAGGGCATTTGAGTAAATCACAGAATCATAGAAAATTTGGGTTAGAGGGGACCTGAGGAGGTCACAACTAGTCCAACCCTCTTCTCAAAGCAGGGCCATCCTTCACTAGATCATTCCAGCCAGGGCTTTGTCAAGCCGGGACTTACCCTCCTAGCGAGAAAGTTTTTTCCTAATATCCAACCTAAACTTCCCTGGCTGCAACTTGAGACTGTTGCTCCTTGTTCTGTCATCTGCCACCTCTGAGAACAGTCTATCTCCATCTTCTTGGAAACCACCCTCCAGGTAGTTAAAGGCTTCTATCAAAGCCCACCCATCCAGTCTTCTCTTCTGCAGACTAAATATGGTATTAGAGAGTCAAATGGGGGCTTGGAGGGAGCAGGGACACAGACTACAAGCTGACACAGCAAAAGCCAAAGTTGAATTGCTCTTCCCATCCCAACTCCCAGCTCCATAAGGATCTTGAACACACCATGCACACTCCCAGTAATTCACCTTCTATTTACAGTAAGTTATGGAGTGGGCCCACACTACACCAAGATGGTGTTTACAACAAGAACAAATAAGTCCTTAGAATTTAAAATGGATTCTCAACTAGCAGGCTCCAGGGACCCATTGGCTGCCTTCACAATCTGTTAGAAGCGAAAAACGTCACAAACCAAACAATGGACTTCACAAAGAAGCCATTTCTCCTCATACAGGACAAAGATAGGGGGGAAATGGTGCAAGTGAGCAGTATTTAGATTGAAGAGCCAGAGAAATTCTCCATTTACTTCACAGCATTAGGAAAAAGTGACCTTTAAAAGTCTACACTAGCATAGGGAAATAAGTCCCGTAGAAATAGCTACATAAATTGGATAAACGCAAGCAAAAGACGGACTCCTACCTTTTCTCTGCTGCTGCCACATTTATGGAATCCATAATGTCTTTCACAGTGTCTATTATCTGTTTAGCTCTGATAGTGTGCTGTTCAAACTTGGTTTTCACTGCTGACTGCGAGATACACTCCTGCGAGGACCCAAGCCACAACACATTACTGCAATTCCATGTCAGTGCTCTCAGGAATTTCCATGTCAGAAAGCACTTGCTGCTATCATTAGAAACTTAAAACCAAAGGAAAATGAAGAGGAAGGAAAGACTATACAGAAACCAACACACTCAACAAAAAATTCAAATACATGTATAGCAGCAAGACTGAATCTTCATGTCTGCCCACAGTAATGTGCAATGCTTTTATAAATTAACACCACAAAAGGAAAACCATAAAAGCAAAGTGTGAAGTATGAAAATAAATCTGTTCTTAAATTGGCTGACACTGCCTTTGCTATTATCAATGTTAAGCACTGATTCCTAATGACTTATCTGGCTTGTGATTTCTTTTATTTTGCCACATTAACTTTTCTGATCACTTGAGGGAGCAGTGTTTACCACCGTGAGATCATGTACCTTTGCACACTTATGTTGACACAACATGCCAGGGGTCAAATATGCGACTAGGTGCATTATGCAGAAGAGTCATAAGGAAAAAGTATTACCTTACAACAGAGATGGCCAACCTGCAGCAGGTGCACCACAAGTGGCACGGACAGCATCTGTGTGGGGCACTTGACAGACCAGGGAGGGAACAGCCAGCACAGTGGCAGATAGAGTAGTGAGAAGAAAGCAGTGCAGCAGGTCACCAGGGAGCACGGGGGAGGGAACAGAAAGCAGAGCAGCAGATTGGGCAGGTGAAGGGAATCAGAGTATCACTTGGGGAAATGGTGGGGCTAATTCATGGCATGGCTGCCAAAAAGGTTGGCCCCCACTGCTTTATAGGATGCAAAAGCTGGCAAATAGTCTTTAAATTAATTTCCCCCATGCAGATCATATAAATCTTAAATCTAATCATGCTGGATAGTTAGAACGAATATAATGATACTGTCTTCAATATCTGTCACCTGACTGGTGCATACAGCAGCATAAAAATTACTGAAATGCAAATCAAAAGGAAAGGCTAATGGCCAGTTTGGACCAACAGAATTTATGGATGCAAGTGAGAGGTTGAAATTAAGCAATTTTAAACAATCATCTTCTACTTATCTAAATGCATTGCCCTTACATTCCATTTACATTGAGTGTCAAGACACCAGCAAGACCCTACATTTATGTTTGAGGAACAGGAATAAGAATGAATGCTGGTAGTCTCCCTTTTATGGGATATAGGTCATTGTAGACCAAGGGGAGATTTTCTAAGACAAAAGACAATTTTCAAAATGCGTTTGGAAAAAAATCTCCCCCTATGACACTGATCACCCCCAAGAACTGTTTGCAACAAGATGTAAACAAAAGATCAAAAGAAAGAAAATGCAATGGGTGAAAGGGTCACTGTTCCTCGATGAAGCAGATCTAGAAGTCAGCAATGAAAAGTCAGAGGTTCATAAACATCAGCACGTTGTTAGAGCTAGACTAGACATATAGGAAAGATGGCAGTCTTTCAAAACATTAGTCGGCAGTAGATAAAGGGATTACATTCACTCACTAAACAATCAGAAAATCCACAGTTAAAGCACTAGGAAAAAACACAAAGGTTAGTTATATGGCTGGAAAAGATGAGAGAGAAACAAGTTTGCCTTTAGAGTTTATAAATAAACTCATTTATCAAAATGAAGATAAAAAAGCTGCTATGCTTCACTACTATAACTGGGAACAGCCGTTGCCACCGAGCTTCTAGCATTGTGGGATAATTTCCTGTAAGTCCACAGCTTAATACATTTTCTGGGTAGGCTGTCAAAAAGGCACTGTGCTAATTAAGGATGTGATTGTGTTTGAGTTATTAGCTCCTCTTTCACCAGTGATAACTTGGCAAACAGTAACCCCAGTATAAAGCTTGTCCGTTTAAAAGCACATTACATTGAGGGTTACTGTCTACAGCCCCCATGTGCTGATCCTCCATCATGTCAAAGTTATTGTTTTAATGAGTCCCCTTGATATTTCTCCCAGTTTTAAATGGATTACAAATACATTATCTTTTCCATGTGCCTTGAGAATGAAGATAAAAATTACAGATCTATAATTAGTCCACTGATTTGACCTGAAGGCTCGACAGACAAAAAGCTGTCAACTACTGTTTTTCTCGTATATATAAATCAGGTAAGGAGTAGGGGTGTTGTGGGGCAGGTGGTCTGGGACTAGAAACTGCTGTGCAAAAATGCAAGGGGTGAGAAGTAGAAATAGGGGAGACTGGGATAAGCTAGGCAAATAGGGACAGGGAAGAGGAGTGGAGACTGGACTGGCCAAGTGAAGAGAATGGGACTGAGACAAAGAGCTAGGGGTGAGAAAAACAGAACTGGGACAGGCTGGAAGGGACAAGGCAGAAGTTATTAAGGGTAGTGATATAAGGCAGAAGAGTCTATGCCCATGACTGCACATTCCCCTCCAGAGCCTACACTGGAAACCAAGATTTCCAAGTCTCATCATACCTCTGCTGCCAGCCAATATCTATGAAACCCACGGTTCCCATCTATTCTATACAAGCTTTCATAAACTGTGCTCTTCTCCAGAGTATCCAAGTGCCTTCCAGCAGCATATTATGCAACATGACTATATAGCTATTACATGCCAGTTCTTCCATCCTCCCCCAGGGTGATGCACAAGCAGTAAATTGTCTTGTTCTAGCAGGATTTGCACATGCCCACTTCTGCATTCACAGTAGAGAAGGCTAGGTCAACAAAACACATCTTGCACTTGCAAAGTAACTAGTAAGGTTTGTGATCATCTCCATGGGTAGTACTAGAGGAGAATGAGACATACAGGCATAATGGACTTGTCTACTGGAAGACTATTGGTCAGAATTTTTTCAGACTGGTCCAAGGCTACACATACTTTTTGGTCCTGCGACGTGCTGGAGATCCACCGCTTCTGAGCAGGCACACTTAATCAAGTCTGTTCCGCGCGCAAGCTGACGCGCACTGCGCTGCGTCACGTGCAGTTGTATAAGCAGTGAAATTCACATCAGCATGCAGAAAATGGCGTCAGTGTGCTTTTGAACTAAAGAATCTTCTATGTGCTGTAGTTCAAAAGCACACTGCCGCCATTTTCTCAGCGCTGATGCATTTTTCACCGCTTACACAACTGTAAGCATTGCAGCACTGGAAGCTTTTCAAAGCCCCCAGTGCTACAGCACTTGCATGTGTAAAAATGCCCATGCTCTTTAGTTAATGCTCATTAAGACAAGTTAATGCACATCTTCCTAGTACCTCACAATGGAGGTGCTAGATTTAATGTGCGTTAACAAAAGTGCCTTAATGCACATGTAGATACACCTAGAGTAACTTTGTAGGGAGTGGCAGACTTATGTTTTCAAACATTAATGACCGATGTAGGTATCAATATACCACCACACAACAGAATTTGTTTTCTGCTTTTGTTAATATCCTAGGAAATTACATGCAAATATATATTAAAGAAGATTATTAAAGTTGCAAAGTCAAAAACCCAAAAGCGAGGGGCATTTTCACATACGCAAGTGGCAAAATGGACGTCAGCGCTGAGAAAATGTCTGTGGTGCGCTTTTGAATTAAAACACATCCGAGGTACTTTAGTTCAAGTGCTTTGCCACCATTTTCTACACACTGACGCACATTTTGCCACTTACATAATGGCATGCAGAGCAGTGCATTGTGCATCAGCTCGCATGCGGCACAGACTTGGTTAATCGAATATGCTCAGAAGCAGTGGATCTCCGGCACACTGCCGAAGGAAAAAGTACATATATAATTGCCCGAAGTTTCTTATGCAACTGTAATTTGGTCCCCTGATGCTTACGCATTAAAATAGGAGTTTTAAATCGCATAATCATATACTTTTCCACACAGGACCCCTACCTCGTCACGGCACAGGATGGACCACAATGATACACAGTTGTGTAGTGAAAGAAGGTGTTATTTTGCAGGACTCTTATCTTACCAGCTACAGAACTGGGACTGAGTACAGAGACTGAGGCATGGGATTTGCAGGAAGGACGATTAGTAGGGGTGTGTGAAGCGGGCCCTATTCGATTCGGATTTGGCCCGAATCCGGGACAGCGATTCAATTAATTGATTTGGATCGCTGTCCCCGATTCGATTTGGCCAAACCTGAATCTGAAGATTCGATACTGATTTGGAGAATCAGTGATTTGGACAGAGACACAGCTTTAAATGTTTTTTCTACGTACCTCGAGGTTCCAGCACAGCTTGCGAATGCTGCGATGCTGGGGCGGATGGAGAATCCCACGGGAGTGGGGGAGGGGGCCCTCCACATGCTCGGCAGCAAACCCAGAAGTGAACCGGAAGTACTTTCAGTCCACTTCCAGGTCCGCCAGGGAGTGAGCTGGACAACCCCCTGCCACACCTGCCAGCTCTGCAATCAGCCACGGGGGGACCCTGGGTAGTCCCCTTAGACCCAGGAGGCACCACTCGCCAAGCTGGGGGGCCGTGGGGAGGGCCCCCCCCATGTGCTCCATGGTGGACCCGGAAGTGGATTGAAAGTGCTTCTGGTTGACTTCTGGGTCTGCTGCCGAGGCACTGGGGAGCCCTGTGCTTCTGTAGGACACTCCATGCACCCCAGCATCACAGCATTCACAAGCCCCCTGGTACCTTGAGGTATGTAGAAAAAACATTTAAAGCTGTGTCTATGTCCAAATCACCAAATCTTTCCGAATTGATTCAGTGGGTTCTAATTTGATTTGGAGAGATAAAAGGGTCTCCCAATTCGATTCGGAGATTCAGCCACTGAATCGGGCCAAATCCCCACCGAATCAAATCAAGGACCGAAGCTTCACACAGCCCTAATGATTATGGCAATGAAAGATTCTCTCAGTCTTTGCCACAAGACTTCTGGGATGTTAAACAAGTCACTTAAAGGTTTCTGCATTAGTTTTGTCTCAGTGCAGAAGTACTGTATATTCTCAATTTTAACTAAAGTTAAGAGCTGCCTTTTGAGCACAGGAACACCAAGAACCAACTTCAATTCAGATTAATCCTAATTACCATTTCCTTTACTTTGGAACTATATATTTAATATAATTTTTCTTCAGTGAATTTACTAAGATTTTTAAAGGCTCTTCAGTGATCAGGGGCCTAAGTCCAAGCAGTTTGGAGAATTTCACTAATTTTTTATGACTACAGTATGCTCATAAGTGAAAATTATAACCCACAAAAAAAATACAAATTTGGTTGCAACTTGTTTTAACGTGATAGAAGTAAAAAAAAGAAAAAGAAAAAGAAATCTGAGTCCATACTTTGTTCCTAGAGCTCCCCAGTGAGCCAGGCACTGAAACATTTACAGTACAATCCGCCATTGTTCCAGAGACTCAGCCATCTAACGCACATGGGGAGTTAAGGATCAAGTACAAGCCTTAGCCTAGCATTTCTTTATTTTTTACTGAATTAAGTCCAACTCTCATGGTAGCATAGTTCTATATTCCTCACACTATTCGTTATGAAGTGTGAAAAGAGGTTCAGAATATTTGCCTGATCAAAACCAATAGTCACATCATTCTAGGCTTGTGATCTTAGTGAGATAGCAAAGAGCCAATCTGTACCCTATAAATAAGGAGCAATTTCTGAAACAATCAGTTCAAAATCATTATGAATGCCATGCTAATATGAAAGCTGCCCAAATTCAGTGAGGTAAGTAGATATCACTACAATGAATAAACCAATGGTCTATCTGGTCCAGTACCCCATTTCTGACAAAAACTCAAGATAAACTCTGAAACCGAACATGCCTAATCTGCTAATGTTTGCAGTAAATAAAGTATGGGAGGGGGGGCAAGGAGTCAGTGGCACCAGCTACAAGGGTTAAGCTAACTGCCTACAGGATAGATTCGACTTGGTATACAAGTCCAGGCCCTTCATTTAGGCTTTTGCTGCTCAGTGACTTGCACCCTTGTTCCCAACCTAGAACTCTTGGTGCCTTGTTCCTGCCTTGCCCATCCTGGACCCTAGTATGTCATTCCTACTTACTGTCATGTGTTCTGGACTCCCCAGCACCTGACCTCTGCCCAGGCCTAGATTACGAACACGTATACCACTAGGGCCCAGAACGTGACTTGGACTCTCTGGCTGTGAACCATTTGTGAAATCTTGGGCCCTGATCTGGACTCCCCACAGGCACAGGTTCTTGTTTAACTCTGCATACCTTCAAAACATCTTATGCCCCAATCCTTACAAAAGGAATGGACATAGAAAAAAATTACAGTTTTGTTCTGAAACACTGAGTTCTTAGTTATTCTATATGCATATTTTTAATTTCAAGATTACAAGATCTTAGTACCATAATAACTGAATGTACCACTACTGGTGTCTTTATATGGTAGGTGGCATGATGTTAAGATGTTATAAATGAGTGGAGCTCAGTTTTGTAGCCCTTCTTATAAAGCAATACCTACTTCAAAGCAAGCATGTGAGTATCTTACTTGATATGAGTAAGACTGAATGAGTAGAGCGCGAAAGTTAGCTCAAGACTGATACTGCACTTATGTATCATATACTGTAGCCACTTCCGAAAGCAGCTTAAACGTATAATGTGTAATGTGCAATGTGATTACACTAAGACAGGGGGGAAAATGTCACTTTAGTCCCATGCAAGCTCAGTATCCACACAAGTTAGAAAAGCCATCGTATCTACCTCGAATATTTGCTCAAAATTCTGAAATTCCTGGAATCTTGTTTGAAACCCTTCAGCGAGTGCACCACCTGCAAAGCACAATGGAAATTAAGATGGACAGTAACGCCCACAGCCAATTACTGTTTTAACTTTTCTTCAGCCCCTTTTTACAGACAAGGGACAAGGAAGCAGGGTGCAATATATACCATCTGCTGGCAACCCTTGGGACTTCTGTTTTCTAGCACTCAGAACTTCCTTGGCTGAAACAAAGAAGATGCGATTCTGTGCTTCTGCAGGATCAACAACTTTGAGCTCATCAACTAGGAAAGTCAGACAGCGCTCCATGTGCTGCCTGCGGACCTGTTGGAAAAGAAGGAGGAAATGTCAGGCAGAGAAAGCATCAAATTGTAACCAAGCATTTCTGAGAAACAGAACAGAATAAGAAGTGGTGTCCACTGATCCTAGGTGCTACAGGACCTTCATATATAATATGCCTCTAGTCCTATTGCAGCAGGCAGGGAGGGGCTGCCTTTAGACTTGCAAGCAAAATGCTTACTTCCCTACAAGTACTCAACCAAAAGGTGATGCAACAAAAACTGAAAGAACTACTTTGCTTCTTACACACAGATTATGTTATATTACAGCATCTAAGTTACAGATAGAATGAAAGGAATTTCTCCCCAACTCTTAAAAGGAGAGTCATTTAAAAAAAAAAAAACACCAATGAAGGAAAGTTTTACCACCCAAATGTTGTAGTTTTGTAATTATATTTGAAGAAGGTGGTTTTCATCTTCTAATCACATATCTTCCCCTCCCCTTCTTATTAACAATAAAATTCCCACAGCTGACTTAATATGCTGATCACCATAATATCTGGACCCGTACAAAAAATTACCCATTAGTAATATTATTTTCTACACTGTAAACAATTTATCATAACTAGCATTTTGTTCCTTTGGAAGTAACAAATACAAAGAGTAAGAGTAACTCACGTCCTCCATATACTCAGGCTCTGAGGCAGAAGCATCCCAACGATTGTTGAGGATGAAGATGTTTGGTTTGGAAAGCCGCTCATTTACTTTATGAAAGAAGTGTTTTTCCTAAGAATTTAAAACAAGAAAACAAAAACACAGAGACAAGAGTCACGGCATCTCCAGAAAAAAGAAGCTAGCTTTTAGGTTAAAACCAGTTAAGTGCCAGGATTTTTGGCTGGTATGCTACAAATGAGCTCTGCACCAGCCCCGAGTGCCACACACTAATGCCTTTCACCTGCCTGTTACTCTGCTTTCTGCACCCTGCCCTGCGCGCCCTGTCCAATCTGTTGCTCTTCTTTCTATGTCCTGCCCCATCTGCTGCTGTGCCACCTGCCATGCACACAGGCTGCCTGTGCCATGTACACCACAGACTGGCAACCTTTAGGTTTCTTAAAACAAAACAAAACCCCACTTCCTAACCTTACATCTGCCCAAAGGCTAGGAAATGTCATAAGGATGATACCAAAACTAAAAACCAAAGCTGCAGTTTCATAACCTGTCCAGTGGCATGTTCTTCTCTGAAGAACTGACACAAGGTAAAATAATCACTCAGGATAAAAGGGATGCCTTCCTTGCTTGGACTGTTCTTCTACTCTTTTTTCCCAATCCTATATCATGGGTCACAATGATCAAATCACAATGGAATGGTGGTTTGTCAGTACACCAGAATAAAATCAGTCCTTGCTCTAAATTGCATGTCTTCTGAATTTAACCAGAACAATATCAAACACCTTAGACTGAACATCTGTAATACTTAAAACTAGAGGTGCACTGATATATCAGCTGCCTATTGGATCAGCACTGATAAAAGGGAAATTTACATTATCAGGTTTTTTTGGCCATTGGAGCTGATAACATTCTCTGATACTTATGCCTTCTGGCTGGGGCCCACGGATGCCTGGGTTACCTCCTGTGAGCCGGGACGACCCCAGATACACCCACATCGCCTGACTGGCGGGCTGGACTGTGCTGGAGCAGAGCAGCTACTGTGGTGTCCCAGGTGCTGGTGCAATGTGGACTGCAGGCTGGGCGGATGCTATAAAAGGTGCCAAATGCTGAAACCGTGACTGAGGCAAGGAGGGGCAAATGGAGCTGAGCTGCGTGGCCCGGCCCAACGTGACTGACCCGCAGTGCCCAGGGGGCACGCACACACTGCTGCCTTACAAAGCTCAGGAGATACTCCAGCTGCTGTCAGAAGCTGCCCCCCTGCAGCCACTCCCCACCGTCCTTCCCCCAGCCCCGCAGCCCAGCTGGGTCCTGCACCCCCCCAGAGCTGGGTCGATTCAGTTCCACAGCCTTGCCCTGGGCAGAGAGAGGAGCCTGGCCCAGAAACCACCCAGCCCTGAGCAGCTGCCCCTAGGCTGGGGTTGAAGGGCAGGGACTCTGCACAGCCAGTTCAGGCACTGCTAGGCTAGCCCCACCTGCTGCAACCCACAGGGGCACTTTTACATGTGCTCCAGAAGTGGGCGGGGATGCTTTGACTAGAGCGGCTACAAGAGCTGCTCTAATTAAAGCACCCTGTGTCTCCTGTATCAGCATCCCCACACTTAGAAATGGGGCTAAATATACTAAATATTGGTTATCAGATCGGTACCAGCAGATATGGCTGGTTAATAATCAGCTATTGGTCTCGGCCAAAAAAACCTTTATTGGTGCACCCCTACTTAAAACATCATCACCCAATGAGAAAAAGCAAATATGCAAATGAGACAGCTATAGAAAGAAGAAATTCCAAACAGAATCCAACAGCTCCTCAGTGATGGAGAGAAGTACAACACCAATGTTTGTGCTCCCTCCACTGGTTTGGCAGCAGCTGCTAAATGTTATTCTCAAAGCTTTATTGGCATCAGGTGAAAATAATTAAGGAAAGTAGGAATATCCTTAGTGGTATGCTCCAGCTCAGGGAACTGAGTTGCAGCAAATGTTATTTTTTCTCTGTTTGCACAAGTGGCAAGGCAAGGTATTTATCTGAGTGCTTTTGCATAACTGAGAAGCAACTAATGGTGTCCTCTAGATCTCACTTTATTTACCACATCAACAAAAGATGACAAAAAAGGGAATTTTACTCCTATAGAAGATGGGACATAAATGAAGATTTTAAGGCTACTTGGAATTAGGACAGAAATCTGCAGATCACTGAAAATCTTGTTTCTGAAAGAGACCTTAGTTTATCGTCAGCTTTCATTGTTTACGCTACTCTCATTAACAAAAAAGGAACTGTGCATAGTAATGTAAAGGATGCAAGAGTTTTGCACTACAAAATCCAAAAGAGAATGACCCATTTTACATTTAGTAATTTTCTTCTGTGCCAGGCTGAAAAATCATTTGGCAAAATCAAATTAAATATGCAAAAAATGCTTCTGCTTCCAGATGTTACTAATCCTACAAGAAAGTAACAAGAATTTTCCACCCCCCTCAAAAACCCATACAATATTCCAGACAAGGTTCTTTATTCCAGCATATTTACCACCTCAGTCAGCTTTTTTTTAAATGGTTATTTTCCTTAACTAATGAGAGAACCTAACCACCTTTGGCCTTTGTTATTTCATTACCAAACCAAACTTAATTAGGATACAGGTCCTCATTGTTGCCAAGTTTCTCAGGGATAATGGCTTCTCGACACAAATCCAATAACATTTTTAAACCCACAGCACACTTACACTGCCACTAACGACTTCTATATTTCCTGCATATAAAAAGCCAACATGTCCCTAAAGCAGAAGAGATAATGAAGCCATGGTTGTACCAAATCCTTCTTGCTGTACATGCTGTCAGATATATTCTTTGTCAGAAGAACTCTTTTGTAAAGGACTCTCAGTGGCTAGAGCTCAGAAAATAGCCCAGAGTGTTTTCAAGTTGGTATTCTATATGGCTTGCTTCATTCCCAAGCCTATTAGCTTCTTTATAAATAGGTATTTTAACAACATCAAGAGTGAATCTTTGTTGAAGGGCTTTTGATATTAAAGTTCCTCTGGCAATGCTGCAGTTCTTCCTCTGGTCATAAAGCTGTTCAACTTTCAGGTTGGGAGGTTTTATTGTTTGGTTTTTCTTTTACTTATTATGATCATACAAAATGAAAACAAAGAAACATCTTCAGATCTCAGTTAAAAATGCCATGTCAAGTCTCTTATGCGTTGCATCTTCCTGGGGAGTAACAGACCCAGTGAGAGGCATGAGGAGAGGAAAGAAATCTTACTTCCCTAGCATGATCCTTCAAAGACAAGATAAATAAACGGTGCACATACTCTTGAGAGCCAGGGAAATGGGGCAGAGATTCAGATTTGCTCCAAGTGAATTGTATAACTTCAGCTGTGAAAATCAAGTACTTCTGTGGTGGATTGGAATGATGTTGTAACTGCAATAATTCAAGAAACAGCAAGATGCAAGGATTTTTGTCAGTGGGCGTGTCTACATGAGATGCTTAATGGCGAGTTAGCATAGTTTTCTGTGAAGTAAGCATGTGGGTCTACACATGCACATGCTTATTTCACAATAAATCTCCCTAGTCCAAGTAAGTTTGCTACCTGCAAATGCAAGTACCAAATTTACTTGGCATAAGTAACAGAGCCGTAGCGCTTGTGTAGACACCTGGCTGGGAGCCCAATCTGCTTCTGATCAACCACCCACCAGAAGGCAGGAGATAGCTCCCTGTCCCCCAGGAACTGCCTGCAACTGGGCCAGGTTTCGCCACAGAAGCCCAGAAGGGAACAATGTCCCTCTGTCCCAGCAGCAGGGAGCTCCAAGCCCTCTGCTCCCACACTGCGAAGCAGGTGCTGAGAGATCCTTATCTCCCAGCCCCCATTCTGCCATTGTGATCAGGGAGCAGGAAGACCCTTAATTCTCAGCCCGAGCCCCACGGTCACATGGCTTGGGCTGGGAGACCCTTATCACCCAGTAGCAGCTCCAGCATCATGGCTCTACCACCACAGGGCTGCTGCTGGGAGATGCTTATCTCCCAGCCTGAGCCCCGCAGAGATAAGGGTCTCTCAGTCTGAGCCCCGCAACTGTGGGGCTCAGGCTGGAAGATAAGTATCTCCCAGCAGTGGCTCCGCAGTTGCGAAGCCGGTGCTGAGAGCTCCTTACTGGCGGGGGCTGGGGTGCTGGTTCCCTGCCCAGCTTCATGAGCACGAAGCTGGGGGGAGGAGGGGAGAAACAAGACCCTCCTCAAGCTCCTCAGTCTGTTCACCCGGCAGCTCCATGCTCACAGAGATGGGGGGGGGCGGCAGCACAAGCTCCCCAGCCCCAACTCTGAAGTCACAATTGCAATCACAGAGTGGGAGCTGGGGGCTCCCTGCATGGGATCAGTTCCCAGTCAGCTCCAGGCTGCACAGGGAAGCACATGCAGCCTGGAGGTGGCTGCATACTGTCCTGTTTCGGACAGTCCCCAGTCAGCTCTGGGCTGCACATGCAGACTTCCCTGCACAACCAGGGTCTGGCTGGGAACTGTCAGAGGCAGGTTCCAGCCCTGTGCCCCGATCTGTCTGTAGGGCAGCTAGCAGAGAACTAGCTGCTAGCTGCCCCACCGGCGGATCGGGGCAGGGGGCTGGGACCTGACCCTCCCCTGCAGCTCTTTGCAAGCCCTGTGTCCCCGATCGGCAGGGATCCTGGTTTTCTCTGATAATAAATAAATAAATAAAATCACAAATTCTCTGATGAAAAATCCCAAAATCTGTTATTAAAATTAAAAGCCCCCTGCAGTACCCCCCCGCCCCGCTGGTGGCCCCCCCTCCC